TTTCTTCTAATTACTGCAACAACCTCCACTATGGGATATTTTTAAGTTGCTTACTACATGTACGCAATACATTTGCGGCAGTTTCTACATCAACAACCAGTAGTGTTTGCTAATAGACTCCAAGCATGGATGAGAGAGGGTGCCCCTGTATTACCTACATGTACATGTAGCAACATCTCGTGGGTAACACACTGGTCGGGTGCATACACCCAAACTGTCTTCATGCGAAGATATACAAATTATCATGGGGTTCTTGCATAGTGCATGATGGGTGCTTGACTCTTGAGAGAAATGGCGTACATTTAAGTACCGGTATTTACATGTATGTATTGACCTGGCCTTTCTCTCATCCTATACGACACTGTGGAACCCATGCCCAGCACCCACATGCTACATTGTAAACTGCTGGTGCATAAGCACTTAACAAGATCTGAGAATCCTTTATTTGCAAGCAACAACTTCAACACAGGCCTGAGATGGACCAGAGACCTGAACTCATACATGTACACATACATATGTATCATCCACAAGGATAGCCAGAGTCCTTTTAACCTCCTGAAATACATTTTAAGTACTATCAGAATTGTGGCTGTGACTATTGTGCTGTACTGGTACCTCAGACTTTTATACAAAGTACATGTATAATTACATATGCCAACTGCAATGATAACAAGGAAGACAGCAGTCTGTCATCAGGTTTAAATAGAGAAGATGTTTTTTTTTCACTTGTGCAATCACAACAATGCATGTCACTGAAGTGTTCCATTCAACTGCAGGTACATAGCCTCAAAGCCCATCCTTGTGTTTTGACAGTCATCTGTTACCGAACTGAAAGGAAGCCTTGTTTTTCCAGTGGTTTTGCAAAAGCAAACAGAAAGACGTCAAAAGATCAACACAATGATTGAGTAACCAAGGAAGCAAATAACATGCAGGCTAGGTCATGTTAAGATTCTGTATCTGAGTAAGAAATACCGAGAGGAAGACACTAGTATACCTGGATGAGGAATGAATATCAGGCAATTACAGGCTGGTGTGGGATTCAGTACCCACAGACAGAGCTACATGTTGATATCATTTGACATCATTGATATCATTTGACATCATTTCACAATGAAAACTGTTTCTGTTGAATTAACTGTTAAGAGATGGTCATGCCATCGCTACTTACAAAAACAACAAATCACAAAATGGAACAGTCAGCTACTCGTTACAAAAATGCAAGCACCCTGACCAGCCTATAGCCCTATACCAATGTCCTTGAGTTTGAGTAAAGAAGGCTATTGTGCTGTCATCAGTGCTATCTTGTAAATACCTGTACATGCATAAACCAGTGGACAGGTTTATAAACTAAAGTAATCAAATCAACCAAGCTGGTACACAGTTCAACACACATTCACAAGCCAGAATTTTACGCAAATTTAATCCGAACTACCTCCCCTCTGGCGGGTCAGGCATCTCAAATCTGACCACAGAAGTGAAGCTACTGGTACTTGTATGCAGAGCAAACTTTGTGCATTGCGAATGTGAAACATCTTCATGCGTATGTTTATTCTGCACACTGTCAGCCGTAATACGACAATCCCTACTTTTAAGACATCTCTATATTTCTGTTTCGCTCAACTTTTCAATTACGTTTTGGACATCAGTCCAAAATTACCTTCACAGCCTTTGGAAGCCTTCCTTTATACAAATGGAGTGAGGAGTCATTTTGGGGAGGACGTTGCTAACTAAAGTAACATTAATTTCCAACCAAATTTAACTTTGAAGACATACATGTACATGTGCATGTACATTTCATATGCATTTTGGCTGAGTAACAGGGTTCTAGTAAAACTAAGGCCTCCACACAATACATTTTTCATTATTTTATTTCAACCTTCAAGCATGTCAAGTACAGACACTTTCAAGTATACTGCCAAACTAAAACCATAAGCCTGGCTGAGGGATGAGCTACATACATGTATATGGGAAATTCACATGAAGTCATACAGTCCGTGGTTTCGCTCATGCCACCATGTTGGCCATCAAGTGCATGCACGGTAACGTGTGCAAATACACGGACGAGCATGGTTTGTTCGCTGTTGCTGTAAAATGGTGGAGGTTTGCTGTGCTGTAGGATGCCATAATTGTGAAGATACTTAAAGCGATCTGCATTTCTATCGGATTCCTGCCGATCCGCAACAGAGCGAAATGGATCAATGCTATTCAACATGAAAACTGGACTCCAAACTCCCACACGAGACTCTGCAGTGTTCACATAATTTACCCTGCTCTTAACAACATAAGTGTTATTGGCATTTTGCAAACAACCAGTTCCTTCACAAATCCGGCCACAAAGTTTTGTAGGCTTCCAAACTCTTGTTATTTTTCAGCGATTGATGTGTGTACGCCCATGTGGAATTGATGAGGTAGTTGACGATATCTGGATACAGTAATTCCGCAATGTGACTTGCACGCATGACCTCACAGAACATTGTTTTCCGTAACAAATATGGATCAACTGAGCTCACTATCTCTAGCTTCTGAATGTATTGTGTCCTTTGAATACCATCCAAGTTATTAGCAGTATTGGAAAATACATTTTCTTTCATGGGATTCGTCATTTTCTTCTCGAACATTGATCCAAATTGCACGTTACTATGCATCACACGAGCTGGCTTGACGGCCAATATGACAGGCAAGTCTAAAGTCACACGACATGACATCTGCGAATAACCTCTATACCTGTTAAGCTCAATCTTGAATCTGGTGCACATTTATTGTACTCCACCTGAGTTGATTTGCCTTTGAATAACATCCATTCATAGGACAATCAACTCAGGAGGGAATACAATAAACTTGCACAAGGTTAAAGACTGTGGTTAAATGGCCCTTCAATCAATTCATAGACCAGGTAAAATGGGGATCATCGCAGCAAAAAAGACCTGCAGTAAAATTACATAATAAATGTGCAAACTGATCTGACCCATGTGGGTCGGCCACAACTCATCAAGCAAACATCTGGACATATGAAAGCCATCTAAACTGAGATAAGTACATGCATGGATGAAATGCATAAATATGGTGTTTGATACAGCTCCTAGAAGATTCGGAATTGTGATTTTGGGTCTTTTTCTGACAAATAATAATTTTTTTGTAATTAATGAGTTTTGGGGGTGGTGGTGTCTGGACATGCGGGCGGTGGATGCAAATATAGGCCCACAATTTCTATTCTCATGGCCTAGCATTCCTAGCATTGAAAGTAGGCCTACATGGACACGACGGAGTAGGGCCCTACATGTACATCATCCCCTAGTACAAACTTCAGACTTCAGAACCAAAGTGGCTAATCAGAGTATTCATTATGTGAACAGTACAGCATGCAGTTAGCTGTTGTGTGCTACTGCTTATTGTCCATGTGCCCTGCTGACGCATAATCCATTCTGGTTCCAACAGTTGAGACACACATGTCGCACTTAAAGCAGGTCTCCCTCAACCATGTAATTTGTAAACAATAACACAATTAGTCTAACATGCCTAACCGCCCAAGACCCGCAAGAAGTGCACAATACCACAAATGAAATGTATTTAGTGATCATTTGCTAACATGGCTGATTAATGATTCAATGAAATCAGTGCTTCATGAAAGTTACATACTTACCGGATCTCGGTGAAGCTCTTATGATCGTCGGTCTTTTAGTAAGAACTGGGTTACCTGAAGTTGAAGCAGAAGATGTCTCCACGTCCACCGCTACGACTTCGTCCATTTTTAACGACGAACTGCAAGTTACAATTGAAAGCACAAGCGCTTCCGCATTAAATAAACTTGTTACTAGTCTCTACATAATCGACTTATGTCTTAAAGTTTTTTTCTTTTTTGGTTTGTTTGTTTTGATTTATAAGGAAGAATGCACTTAATGTTTCAAGATAAAAATGAAAATAAATATGATTTGAATAATTAAAAGGAAAAAAAAGAAGAGATTTCCTGCCTAGGTGGTGGGAAATTAGAAATCTTGAAGCGACGGAATCAAGTTGAAAAGGGATGACCACTTTTTTTTTCTAGTCTGTTTGCTGAGTTCTTCATTCGTGAGGCAAGCACCAGACTGATTGAAAATTTGCAAGCAAGTCGTAATTAGGGGACTAGTTACTTATTTTTTCAGATGGAAATTGAAAAGTGAGTTCTCTTGTGCTCTAAAGTACCAACATTTAAATATTCATCTGCATTTTGAAGAGAAAACTTTACTTAATATTGCAACTGGTTGACGCAAATTCAATGTGTCGNCCACACCGCATGTGAAATCCTGACTTTCAAATGTAAGTTCCTGCAACACGACCGGCTAGATACCAGCGATGAATTCTTGGATCACGTTGATGGCGCCAAATACTCGTTGAGTGCATCTGCTGAAAAGTAGCAAATTGTAATCACTTTTTACCGTAAGTCTACGTTAAATTGATTAATTTTGTGAAGCCCTTAGAAAATTCAGATAATTTTGTGTGAACTGTATTGTTAGGATTTTGTAGAAATATACTGTGGGTATTTAAAAAGGATCCTGAATATGTAATTAGGAAAAACTTGCGAGTAGGCCCAGCATGCCCATGATGCCCGGTGCATGGTGGTACTGTGCTTGTGTTGGTTGACTGTGTAGAGGCTATCTGTGTACACGTCTGCCTCTTGCCACTGCTAGGCTACCCAAGTACTCGGTCTTTTGAATGCAGCCCAGTGATAAAAAATTGAGATACATTTCTATTCAGCTAAGATTCCACTTTCTCAATCACATCTTCCCCCCTGGGAAGAGATACAGGCCCTGGGCTTAGGCTACGGATGCTGGTAACGTAAGTGGCCTAGCCCAGGTTGGACGTCTAGGCCTACATTACAATGCGACAGTCGCAATGTAATGTAGACGTCGTCCAACCTGGGCTAGTAGTGCCCCTACTAGTATTTCTACTACTACATGTACATGTATGATGTAGTACGATCAGGGAATCCACCTGGGCTAGCAGTAGCAGTAGGCTTACTTACACGTAGGCATAGGCCCTGTTCCTTGCAAAAAGGCTAAGCGACCCTACCTACTAGTAGTAGTACGAACGGCCATCAGAAAGCAAAAAGATGTCCAGAAAAGTTCAATTTAGGATGGAAAAAACCAAGTTGTTTAATTTTTGAGACTAGTCCCATAGGGTTTGTGCACACGGTGTGAAGTGGCATCCGTATAGGAGGATGCGGCAAGTACATTACTTCTGGCCAGTGTGGTGAAAACAACCTGAGGTGAATGCATTTTGTCTTCACCTCGCACTGACTCCAGGTCATACAAAGTCACGTCGTGTATATGGAACTCTTTCCTCTTCCCCAAAAAGCCATCAAACACTGTTGGACTGTTGAAACTAAATCTGATGACATAGGCCTATGGTTTCAAGACCATGTGACTGAATATAGGCCGGGGCGGACATCCGGGACTTTCGCAAACTGACGGGCAGCAACCATATTGCATCAGTGAAAACAACTGCGACGTGCATGCACGTATGTGGTGATCAAAGAACAGATTGTGTTGCCCGATTCTCTGACGGGCTGGTGGCACGTGCATGGCCATGGTCGCAGTTGTTTTTGTCCGTGCATGTAGTGAAGTTCATGCATGTTCAATCCTAAATAAGGGAAGTATCATACATGCTTTCTTCAAATTAAAAAAAATTGAAACTCTGAAAGTCATTTTGATGCTAAAGATATTTGATGAGAGAGTTTCAGAGAAAAAAGGGTAAATAGTTTAGCTGTTTAGGACTTTAATCAGCCATTAAAGTACATGACATCGTTGAAGTATTTCTCAACAAGTGTCTGTCTCATGCACGTGATATACGCATTGGCTTGTGTACGAGTTGGTTCGTGTATGAGTCGACCAAATAGCATACAAATTGATCATCGTATGAGTTGGCACAAGCACGAGTTGAACTGTTTCGGGCGAAACCGATCCAAACACGTCGCACACTTAGTATACATCCTACTGTGTGTGTGCATCAGGTTGATTGCCGACCACCATCTCTACTCCATGGGCTGGGTGCACTTTCCTTCGCTAAGATATTGCAAGGCAGGAGATATTCTTTCAGATGGGAAACTGAATTTGTCCCTGAATAAAGGGACTCCTTTATTTTTATGAATCACAGGACAATTTTGTCTGGTACTTGGTCACCAAGCAGAAATCACCCATAATTGCCCAATGGTCTCTGACCACTCTTGGCTGATAAGCTGCTAAAAAGGTACACAAGTTGTCAAGTTATGGTAGTCCGCTGGGCATGAGTTGTCTTTTCACCTGTACATGAACCTCTCTTACAGATGCTCTCACCTGGAGTGGCCGCCTACCCAGTTCACACATTGTGAATGTCGTCACTCCAGTCACCCACAGCCCAAGCAGGCAACATGTTCAGTCCCAGTCTGGCGGGGACCAGCTCCAGCCATGGGCACCAACCAGCAGAGGTATGAAGACACCATCTTTTTTTGGATTGCATTAAATTGCACTGGAGGAAAAGTTCCATATCTGGCCGCCACTTTAGATTTCATGCACAAAGTCTGTTGGTCATGACAAAAAGTTTATTTTCAAAGGAAACTTTGAATTTGTTTCACTTCTGAGTTAGCGTTTCCTTATCAGAGATACACTCTCTGATAGTTTTTAAAGTCATGTTGACCATAACAGTCCTCAATCCTCTACAGGTGAAGGACTGAAGACTGCCGGGTTTAACCCTAAACAATCCCTAACCAGTCAAACTTCAACACCAGTAAGGTGTTTGAATTTGTGGAATTAGGTACTGGGAACTTGCTATATGGTGTTGGATTCTGACTAAATAGGTACAGTGTGCTGTAGGCCAGGGATGAGATTCTCCCGCTTTTTGGCGGATTTCCGCTTTTGGGACTTGAAAATCCACTTTTGCAAATACTTTGTAAGTTTTGCCTTTTTGGACTGTCGGATACAGTGATGGTTGACTTCGAAATTCCGATATTTTAAACTTTTCCCACCCATTTCATCAAGATAATTTTCGACTTCCAGGCATCAGATATGATAATGTTGAGCCTCAATTTGTTGTGAAATAAAATGAAATTGCATTTCTCGTTGCTTACTTTCCATGTGTCACGTCATTTTTATTTCATCCTAAGAATATCAAAATCATATCAACCAAGAAGGGCACTATGTCCTGCCATGCATACCGTACGTTCATGTGTAGTTTAGGCACATGCTTTCAACGTACTCATTGATCTGAACCGGCACTAGGCTAGAATTGGGAGATAAGATAAAGCAACACATTCCATTGGCTCTTTTCATTGACAAAAAACAGTGCCGACCAATAACCATCTCTGTAGGAAATGTGTTTGTTTTCAGGTAACTGTCGGTTGTCACAATCACTCTCAGGCTTATTTTCCTGACGTATCCTCATATAAGCCAATGACTGTGCACTTTTCCTGTTACTCACCACATGCACAAGTGTATAGTCCGCCACGTGAAGCCACTGCGTCTGGTACCCTGGATACTTTTGTGTGTTATCACAGAAAACCCTACTGTTGTGTGTGTTGTTGAACGGACGTTTCTTATCATTATATTTCCATCATCATGTCTGCCCATAAAGACATCATTCATCAAGAAGGAAAGGTGAAGTACATCGACAAAGGGATTAAAATTCCTGGGGATGGGAGTGGATTGAGGCCAAATGGGAGGAGTGTTCTTGTCCAAATTTATTCGGAAATTGGCAAAACCTGGTAAGGCAGTGGTGCGATGTAACGCTAGAAATTAATTATGCTTCCTGGGGCAAAAATGCCTTTACAGCACATGCAGAATCGTTGAAATACAACAGCGAACTGTAGACACGGAAAACGAATTATCATCTATTAGGTACATGTATACGTGAACATAATCGACATGTATTTTGAAGCACATGACAAACCATAAGTGATGAACAAAACTACGTGGTGGGTCTTTGCATGTATAAACATATCAAGTTCACAAATAATAAAAAGGTTGGGCTAGGTTTTTCAGAATATGGACTTTCACAAATGTGTCTGTTGTAAAATATGTCCCAGAGGGGCTTAGCATTAGATTGCACCACAGAGCATCTAAAGTTGACAATTTTCCTGGGGCCCGCATGCCGTAAAATGCTTTGCGCTGTTCGCTGGAAAATTTCAGCTTTTTTCATTTTCTGAGAATCTCATCCCTGGTAGGCCTGCACTTACTCTGTTGAATTTCGACTGAATGGGTACTGTGGCCCTGTTACTTTTTACCATCAGGAATTTTAAATGAGGGGAGATTATCTGCAGTTATTTGAGTATTGTATTTTAAAGATAATGTAATGATAGAAAGCTTCCCATTGAAATGGTAAGTAAGTACTTGCCTGTCCATACTCTTTGTACTGTGCAATGGGCCTGCCATACCCAATGAAACAACATCACGCAGGTAAAGACCTGTTGGAGTTCGTCTGATTGGGTACTGTAAGGTAGGAGTTTGATTTCAAGGTGTTGGAGTTTGTGTGATTAGGGAGGAATACTACTAACAGTGCTTGGGCAGTTGGGGTTAAGGAAGATAAGTAGTTGCCAGGCATGGAATTTTTTTTGTAGTTTCTTAATGTGTGCATGGTAGTAGGAAAGAATTTATTTGAAAATGCTCTTGGACAGTGACAAGTACCCAATATCCACTCTGCAATCAAACATTGTAGTTATTTCCATTTTAGGAAATTGGGGCCTTGGCATTGCTACGCTTGTATCTCCAGTTTCCCAATACAAAGGTGTCCAATTTTCCAAATGCTGACTACAAACCTGACCTCTGTTCCCGCTGATCTGGTTTCTCCTCCTGCCTCCCCCTCCCCACCAGGTTTTCCGTAAGGACCTCATCAGTGCCATGAAGCTGCCGGACTCCCATCAGCTCCAGCCGGACGAGTACATGGTCATCACGGATACTTGGAAGCAGGAGTGGGAGAAAGGGGTGCAGGTTCCTGTCAGCCCCGACAGCATCCCCGCCGTCAGCTGCACCGCCACCAGGGACCCAGATCCAGGCACCTTCAAAATGTGAGCCCAGTTCACAGGCACATTTCAGTTAGTCAGCCCAGCCACCGTTCAGTTTTGTGGCATAACACAGTATTTCCACTGTCCATCAAAGTGCTTTGTTGTCCCTTGGTATTGAAGTTGTTTTCACATGATATATTTTAGAAATCTGCATATTGATATTTCTACATGGAATGCCAGCTGCACATCACAGTTGGAATTCAGTCCTTTGAAGTCCTCACAAGCCCATCTCAGGTCATCCATTTGAGATCGGCCTCTGCCTTGGCCATCTGGTATCCATTTCCTTTGCATGTGATTTAACTCACAGTTTTACTCAGAATGTTGAGATGCATTTGCAGTTGAGGTTATGATAGGGCTTTTGATTGACCTGACCGCAACTCTCTGTCACACTCTTATCCCCGCTTTTTACAGTGCAGTTGAACCTCGTTAATAAGATTGTGCGGATTACCTTGTTATAACAGGAACCTTGTGTTAGCAAGAATGGAAAGAATAAAGGATTTGGACCTAAAAAAAATTCCTTGCTGTAACCAGAATGCTGTATTTACAGTGCTCTTATTAATGTGGTTTGACTGCATTAGAATTGGTGTTGCTTCATTTTAGGGTATTTTAAGAAATTTTACTTATGCTTAAGGAGTGTCTTTTTCACAAAGGACTCGACTGAATTTCAAACCACACAATGTGTTGAAAGAATTGCCTTTCTACCCCCACTGTAGGCCAAGGAAGCTGATCTGTACGGCCGGTGGAACAAGCGAACAGGAAGAGTACGCGGCAGCCCTCCTAAAGAAGTTGGAGTCGGTTTGCCAGTATGACTTGGATGAAGTGGACGAGCAGTGGTTGGATATCGTCAACCAAGAAAGGGAAGACATGAGTGAGTAGAGGTTACAACTCTTTTCTAAGCCATCCCAAATTTTTAACTCTCGAATGCAAATGTACATATTAGACTGAGCTGGCGTTTGAGGGTTCAATAAATACATTGAAAAGTGGTGGTGGAAAGTGTTATGCCATGTAATATTCTACGTCGACACCCAACACGGAAATCATTATCAAGCAAATCATTATGCAAATGTCATTACACTACAATACACAAAGCGCGCATGCTCTCGCTCCAATAGTGTCCTAGTAGTGTGTGACGACATGCCCATCAGCGTCGCTGATTACCCAGAATGCAGAATGCACAGCCTCAGCATGGTATGCAAAATCACTTGGGTTTCTAAATGCGGTGGTTTGTTCCCTTACCACACAGTTAGTCTGCTCTTTGCATAAATAATCCTGCAGGAATTCACTTTGTTCTATATCGCTACTCTTCACCTGCGTATGAAAAATTGGTCCTTTAGTCAATTCAGCCAAGAGACTGCTTTTGACCCTAATTCTATGCCTACATAAGCAAATGAGATTGACTTACCATGACCGTTTGCATTTCTTGGTAGAACTCTATACAGCGTGAAAGGACAGTCCTGAAATCTTGTCTCACCAGTCAAAATGTTGTTTGAATATGGCATGGTCTGACTGGTGCGTTTGACCACTTGTGACGCCGGCTTATGTGTAAACACACATACGTTTCTTTATTTGTTCCAAGGAGGATGTGTACACTCGCTTAAGAATTCTTTTTTAATATCCACGGTTAATGTATTAATGCATCGTGCTTGGTTGGGTCAAAGCGCAATTGCAAGGTTGAAATATTTGTGGGCAAAAAAGCCGGACCCCAGCAGCTTTTTCGGGTAAGAAATCCGATGTAAACTGGCTAGCCGACATGTAATATGATTTTTGGTGGCGAAGCTGTATATATAAAGTATGGGAGAAGTGGAATGGCTTTCTATCTGATTGCTCACACAATCACAGACAGTCAGAGGGCCTATCTCTCCGGCACCACACTATTTTCCAAGACTGAGATAGCGCCATCCTGCAAAAAAAAATTGTTTTTGGTGCTGAAACCTGCTTTTATTTCATGACTCAGTCTGTGTTGCTGGGGAAGTGCACTGCCCCCTCCCCACCCAACATTTCCTCCAATATCGTTGCAGTGCATTTTTTCACTAGCTGAGCCTTAAGGACCGTTTTTAGTATCTGCTCTGAGCGGAACAAAAGAGGACGTATTTTTTGGTACTCACCACATAGGCGCCAGTGAGGCGCACAAGTATATGCGCATTTGATGCGGAGCACGTTGAGTACGTGTAACTAATTTGTTCCAGCGTGTATGGTCTTTGTGTACATGTACGCGCAGAACACGTGCAAGAACCTGCTTGACACCTGTCTTTCTTTTGCTGATTGGGGGTGCACTTTAGCTCGAGGTGGATTAAACTTCTTGCGGTCATTTGGACAGCAATTTTATGAAAATCACATTTGCTGTTCTTGCACAACACACATTTCTGACACAGGTCAGCCAAAAACCTGTACTTTTTCCTTTGCGCATGCTGGCCAAGGTCACAAATTTCTAATGACCAGAACCTCAAAACCTTATGTCATATTGAATTGAAACTTTTCGGTTGTCTTGATAAATAGTGTCTTTACCTGCGTGATAAGGTTCAAAATGATTGGACATGATACAGCTGAGTTCTTCAGGGGAGACAGGAATTTCCTCCTACTCAACTTTGTAATGGTCCAAAATAACCTGGCTCTTGGATGGTTATGAGACAGGCTCCTCTGAACACTGCCCTGCAATACTCTTGGAGGGTTATGAGACAGGCTCCTCTGAACACTGCCCTGCAATACTCTTGGA